GGAAATGACTTTGTAAGCCCGCCAAGTTGGCCCACACGTCGTATGAATAACATTTAATATCATTTACTTCAAACGTCGCCGCGTTTCACGCATCTCGTGTATGGGAAGTGGAGTCTGTCAAATTGCTTGCTGTGCCCAACAAAATGTCTGCTTTAATAAAACGCAAGTCCATTTAACAAGCCCAACCCAACCCAGCCCCAAGTTCCTATTCCCAGACTAAGCTATCACCAATACGCGCCACAATGGGCGCGTTTAAAAATGTTCATTTAATTACGCTTTATTGACAGCATTAAAATGACAATCAAGTTTATTAATAATTATGCAGCTTAATGTTCAGTTTAGCGCGCACACTTATTGTGTCAAATTCAGCTACTATTCCCAGAGAATTCGACATTTGGTATTAATATATTTTTTTTTAAGGTCCTCAAAGTTTTTTTTTAAAGCAAATGAAATGGAGAGTTTTCAAAAAATAATCTCGACAGCAAAACTATGTGTTTTATTTTATTTATTATAATAACAATAAAAATGTTCACCAAAGAAGAGATCAAAGAGTGTTGGCTTTGCGAACTGGCTATACTTATCGAAAAATCATTAATTCAAAATAGATTTAAATTGATTCAGTTTCAATTAAATTCAAGCCTTTACAATCATAGAAAAATCACATACATTTTCTTGTTAGACTATTTTCAACTTAATTTAGTACTAAATATTTTTGTCATTCCTCTGTAAAATTAATATGATTCCATTTCACTAAAAATCATAAGGCAGCAGAATATGCAGTGTTATACCATGTTCATAATGTTCATACATATTTTGTTTAGTAATTATTTTTTTTTTATTTATTTATCACTAATATGTAATAAGAATTCGCTGACTTATTTTGTACTAATTAAGGTGAAAACAATTTTCACTGATATATTTTGGATGGTTTTATGCAGAGTTTACGAAATAGAAATAAACGCTATTATTAAACAGAACAGTTTTTTAAGACTTTCAGCTGAAAACTTTCTATTTGCATCACATATAAATATTATATATTGATTATAGCTTTATTTATTCAGTTCGAAGTCGTAACGAAAGCGAAATGGAAAACATATTCGTGAATTTCAGTTTGAATTTCAGTTTTGTTGTGTGTTTTCTACACACTTCCTTTGACACGCATTTCGCAAATCCTGTGAACAAGGAGTAACTACCCGTTACAAGCCAACACATACTTATCCCACTTGCCGCACAAAACTGTAGCATACATTTTGGGGCTGTGACAAAATTTCGCACACAGCTTGCTACATGACATAACCGGCAACGAAAAATACTTTCAACGAGCACTTCCTGCACACACACACACACACACACACACACAGACACACACACATAGAGCGATACACGCCCCGTGTAGTACACTTCCTTGGGTAGCTGCTTGCTGCGAGTGTGCGGGGGTGCATGTCGCTAATAGATGCCAAGAGCTTTGCCAAATTTTTAACAACATGCCGCCGCACACATTTGTTCGCTGCCAAAGGAGTTCGCTGCTCGCTCCCAGCCTACGTTGTGGTCGCAAAGGAGCAAAACCCCTTTCAGTTGTTGTTGGGGAAACAAATACCGTGGCCATTAATTTAGTTTAGTCCTAATTAAATTGCATACGTTACCATAAACACCTTCACAGAGGCATGCAGAGACACAGCTCACCACACACACACACACATACACACGAACACTAGCTCATTTATAAGCAGCTGACAGCAGTGCCACGCCCCTTTGTTGAGGTCCTTGAGGTTTTTTGTTGCTTAAAATTCCATGGCATGCACACAGAAACTTCCTTTTTGGCCAAATGCAAAACTTTTTTTTGGCTTGCGCCGCCTTTTGAATGTAAGTGTGTGTGAGTGTGTGTGTGACTTGGCTTATTTATTTTATGTTTTTGTTTATTTTTTTGCTGTTTTTGAATTTTATTTTGCTACGTGCTTTGTGCCACTTGTTTTTGGCGGTACAAGAGTTTTAAATATTTAATGAGCGCCCGACTAGCACTGTGTGTGTCTGTGTGTGTATGTGTGTGTGTGTTGGGTGTATTAGAGAGTTGTTTATGTGTGTGTTGAAGGCTGTTGCAGTTTTACTTTTGTTTGGCTGTCGCATTTGGCATTTGTCTTCAGCCATTTAGGGAGTTGTCCTTTGAGGGAGCCCAGCTCAGCTAAGTGAAGAGAGCCAAGTTGTGGATCCCATGTGGAGTGTGTTGAGTGCAGTTGCAAAAGAAAACTTTTATCATCAGCTGACACTTGGAGAAAAAAGAAAGCTCGTATATAAGACGAGAACCTTAGGTCCATACATAATCATATAAGTTTCCCGGCGGATATGTTTTGACTCCTTCCTCAATTCTATTTTTAAATTACCCTTCTCCTGATGGCCTTTTCGATATTTGTTATATATACACTATTTGAATTAACAAAGCGTATTTTTTCAAAGAATAGTATACAATAGAAATTGAAACAACTCAAATACTCATATATATTTAAACTGATCCATGTTGGACAAATTATCGCATCCAGACCAATCAGGTGAATAGTGGACCCGTTATTTAGTCGGCTTGTGTACGATTTTCCAGCAAATGTATGTACATGGCAGTATTGCCGGTACAATTTGAGTGTTGACTGCGAATCGAGCATTCACTAGCGAATTATTCAAAAAGATGGATAAATTTGTAGATAAATGATATAAAGAAGTTATCCGCATTATACCAAATTATTCAGCTGCTGCTTAAGTTGATTTTAAGGGCGCGGTCTTAACTGCATTTGTCATGATCAGCGCACACACACTGCTGCCACACCCACATGCACACACACACTTTTAGTTTAGCCGCTGTCATTTCAACAAAATCGTATTATTTAGCCTTATTGCTCTTGACCCAACCGAGACCTGTGTAGTCCCATCCACAACGCACAAGCATCCAAAACAAATGACTTTGTTTGCTTTGCCAGGCATTCGCTGTGCCGTGCCCTGCTTTTGTACGGCGCACACTCCGCCACTTGAGAAGTCAAGAACGGAGCAACTGCTGCTGAACTGAGCCGCCGCCGCATCGGGGACGTTGAGGCTGACGGCAGGCTAAGGACTGCGGACTGAGGACTGCGGACTGAGGCCTGAGACTGTGGCTATGTCGTCCACAGCGTGCTCGACGGCGCTTCTACTTGCATAAAAAAGGCTCATGAATGAATGAAATTGCTGCACCATTTAAAAACTTCCGCATCAAACGGCAACAACAATAACCACAGCAGCAACAACAACAACAACCACAGTGACAGCGAAAAAAATAATGCGCCCCCATCTGTCGTCAGTGCATTTACTATATATATTATAAACTTATTTTTATTTTCGTATTCTTTTATTTATATTTTGCTGCATGCTGGCGTGGGTTTCTTTTGGGTCGAAGCAAAATGCTTTGCGGATGTGTTTAGTATACGCTTTATTTATATTGACAGGCACGAGCAATTTTGGCATTGCGCTAGACGGCATTTAGATAAAAAAAAGTAAAACTGATTGTAAGCTATTACAGGATATATGCTTGAGATTTTCTGCCTTAACTTTGAAGGCATTTTCGAATTTATATAAAAACAAATATACTGTAAATCTAACATAACTACCGGAGATTTCGTACGCAGGGTGAAATCCTAAAAAATGGCTAGGCTTGTTCATTTATCCAATTCAATATAAAATAGTGAAATTTATATTTCTTAAATATATAAAAACGATTTGTTATATAAAATTGTCTGTCCTGACTAACTGGCTGATTGGGTGGTGGCCAACGCATAGCCCAAATCGTAAAAGCTAGGAAGATGAAATTTGACTCTAGTTACTTTATGTGATGAGGAAAAATCGACGAGCTTTAAGTTTTCTCCGATTTGATCAAACTTCATTTCTATACGTGTTTCAGTGTTTTTGAGAATTTCATCCGCAAATGTTGCAAATTGGCGAAAATCGTTGCTTTAAAGCTTTTTGCTTACCATCCTATTTTTGGTAATGCCGGGAAATATCAGCTAGTTTGATATAAAAGTCCACTCACCGTCCTAAAAGCTTGGCCTAACAACATTTGCTGCGAGGAGCAGGTACCATCTGCTCTTTTTCACGCATTTCCCAGGTTGTTTTCCATAGACTCCTGGGTTATGGCATGGAGTCCTGTGAGAAAGAATCTACGCACATTGCACTTTCGATAAAATGCACGAAGGCAAACTTCAAAGTATGCGTTTTTAAGTTGCATTTGCACTGTTCAAAAATTAATGCGCTAAAAAAAACGCAAAGCCCGAGAAGAGCAATGCAAAAATATAAAAGCGAAACGCGACGAGATGAGTGCCTGCATAAATAATGCCCACGGGACACGCTCAGCGTTAGTTACCCCGAGAAGTAAAAGGGAAAATGTGCAGCAAGTGCAAAAAGTGGGCAAAGGTTGCCCAAGGCGACCAAATGAGTCGAGCATGAAAAGAAGTCCGAAAAGGAATTCGTAAAAGTAAACAAAAAGAGCAATATATAGTATGCAAGTGTTCCTTAACCCTCTGGAATTATTTATTAGGGATTAGAAAGCATAGAAACAAACTTCTCGCTGATATGTTCTTAAAATATCTTTATTATGCACAAAAATTTGAGATTGATCTTAAATTTATAAAGAACACGATATAATACCTCTATTGTATGTTGTTATTTACGACTTTAAGCTTTAAATAAAAGACAATAAATTAAGTTATAATAAAATACAATAAATTGTGTAGATTAAAGTTGGCAAAAATGCTATTGCTTTGAATTTTTTACATTTTGATTTCGAAATATTTATTTATTCATTTAATAATTTATCCATATTAAAATTTATCTAAGCAATCAAATATTTACTTCAAACATAATATACCAATGTATAAAATATTCTATATTAACTATCTTTTGACAGATATATTTGTTACACATAATTAAAAATTAGAATTTACTTTCTGCAAACCATTTAACCTGATTCAAAACTTTTCTCTTCTTTGCAGCAACTTGCTAACCAATTCAGGTAAGCTAATAAACAATTGGGATTCTTATATTAAGTTTTGCGCTCACGGAAATCACAATCCCTTCAAACTCGCGAATTTAATTGTCTGAAATGGTCCGTCAACTCGAAGCCCCGAAGCTTTGCGGCTCTAATTAGGCAGCGCATTATTTGATTTTCGCTTGAAACTTCAAAGACAATCCCGCACTCGAAAAAAAAGAAAACAAGTGCTCCATTCGGGAGTGCCCAACTAGAAGATACCCTCGGAAAATCGATTCTTAGAAACAAACCAAAATCAGAATATTAAGTGTCTTGCTCTTAAAGCTAGTCTCTGACGATGCCTTCATACATATAGACAGACGGGTAGATTAATATGTCTTTATGGAATCAGAGTGCCTTCTTCTTCTATCTGTTGCATACATTCCACATTGCCATAATACCCTTTTTTTATCCACTTCTATAGACACAGGGTATCAAAAAAAGAGTAAATGACTCATTTAGTGCTGACAATGCGAGGCGCTTTGATTTATGAGAAAAGACATTGACTGGGTCTTAAAAGGGGGGACGGCAGTTGGGGCGGGTTGCGTTTCTGTGCTTGCAAAACTTCAGGCGACGACAGTTTGACAGGCTGCATGTGGTAAAGTTCTACGCCTGCACCTCCACTGGCTATGCAAATAAAACGATGCCACAAAAGTCAAAACAAGCTGGTCACAATTACACACACACACACTCACACGCACACACAGCTCATTTGTATTTTGTTTGTTATTTTGCCACACAATTAGTTTATGTGTTCATACAGTTAGCGAGTTGTTTGGCCAAATCTCATCTGCTGCCGCATTTGGTTGACGACCTCGTTAATCAATGTCTCGCGGGCGTCGCATCGCTTTGCACTTTATAACCATTCATTTTGCTTGGCTCTGTTTATACTGTCATTTTGATTAACCTTAATTAGCGGCACGTTGACATTCGTCCGCAAATGAGTGCCACATGCAACTGGCCAACGCTTTCCCCTGCCACACACACACACACACACACACACACACACACACACACACACACACACACACACACACACACTAGCATGTCGCTTAAATGAGAGTGACATTTTGTGGCACACGTTTTCTTCGTCTGCATTGGATACCAGAGCTGGCTCTGACGTTTATTGCGAGCACCACCCGCCATCACCTCACGCCTCACACCTCCCCTCAAATTGCAACTGCAACTGCATCCGACTGCCGCTGGTGTCAATTGCAAATGAGTTTCTGTGCAGTAGCCATGTGGAAAATGCTAAAAGCGAAATTGTTAAGTTGTATTCGACTGTCAAATGCTCTATAAATAAAGCATATAGGAAAGCACAGCAAAAGAAAATGGTTGTTTTACTTTCACGAAGAAGATAATAGATTTTTTTCAATTGTTTAGTTCGTTTGTTTTTGTTGATTTATATATTAAATTTATCTTTTTTTTTTACTTTTTAAAAATATTAATTTTCGTAATGTATGTTTTTGGGAATGTATGTATAAATGAACATCAAGGAAGCTAGAAGCTTCTAGAAGCTAGAGTTGTACTGGTAGTTCGGCGAAGTATGTAGGGTATTACGTAGTCGCGCACGCCCGACTAGAGCTATCTTCTTTGTTTTCATATATATATAGAGCATACTGAATCGGCTACAACCCAACTGTGCGTAATGTTTGCTGTGTAAAGAGTAACCCGAGCTGAAACACTTTGGCATGCAAAACCAATTGCAGTTTAGGGCAAGTATTGAACGCCTCTACTCTATCTTTCTCAGGTTCTCTCTTCTCGCTCTCTCTGTCTCTGTTTCTCTCCCTCTCAATCTCTGTTTCTCTCATATTGTAAGTGGCATATGCACATTAATTATGCTCCAACTGAGTTCAGACTCAGCTTTATGAGTATTTTTGTTATTATTTGCTCTGCTCTATTTGCTTGCCAATGACAGTGACTGCGAAAAGTGTGTCGACCTCTCGCTGCCCACACGAGCTGAGCGCGAAACTAGTTCGCATTGCTGAGCGGATTCACTTGACTTTGATCTCAATAAGTGCTAATTACTCGGTTTCGATTTTGCAGCTGCTCGTCTCAGTCAGCCCCAATGCCCCCAGGTCCTCAAAGCCCCACAAAGCTGAGCCAGCGGCCTGCACTTTGTCGTCCATTGGCCGGAGGAGTTGTGAAAAACTTTCACGTAGCTCATTTGTCAATGCAAAAATATTTTTTGTTTTTGTCATCATCTTTGTTGTTGTTGTTGTTATTGGGACGCTTGCTGCCTGTCACGTTTTCAGTTTGTTTTGTTTTATTTGCTTTCATCGGCTTCCTACATGAGGGAGGGCTCGGGGTCGGCCCGTGGTTTCAGCATTTTGGTCTCTGTTGTTTTTATTGTGTAAACTTTTTTTTGCCAGCATTACGTTGTGTTTGCCAAGCAGCTTGAAGCCTGTCAATAAAGTTCTTGACACCTTTACTTCATTTGCTCAGATTTCTCTCGACATGACTTTAACTTTGCTTTCTGTTTGAGGGTTTTCCTTTTTATTTCTCTTAGCACACACTATGTAAATTTCTTTTCCATAAACCTTTTTGTACCCTCACAGAAGGTATTATTATATTGTCACCAAATATGTAACGCACAGAAGGGGAGACTTCTCTGAACCCTCAGTAAATATATTCTTGATCAGTATTACAGACGAGTCGATATAGCTATGTGCATCTAGTCTCTCACCTCAGACCATTCTTAATACCTTAACCGAACTTTGTCTTTACAAGCCCTGCTATCAACATCATTAACATCGGATTATATATCAAAACAATCTCAATTTTTGTTGCATTATAGATTTATTTTTTAATTTGCTAGTTTTATAAAAATAATGTATTTCTTATGTACATTTTTTTTTATAAGTACCGTCTTAACAAGATTGTAAGAGTATTGCAAATTCGTCCTAGCTGGGTTTTCTCTATTTGCTGCTTTTTATGTTAAGTATACGTCACGCTGTCAGTGGCCGAAATTAAGCGTTGACTGTGGGTGTAAGCCCGGTAGACGCCCACATTTTTGCATAATGTCCATTCATTTCAAGTAGCAGCAAAAATCTTAAAGATCTCCCACAAAAAAAAATTACAAAAACTGATTGCCGACGTGCGTGGTAATTAAGTTCGTGATGTTGTTCTTTTCTTTTTTACAATATTACTCACTTATCCGCTTATGAATGTTAAGGCAGTTGGAAATCGTTGTATAAGATGTTATTAAAAAGATAATGGCCTAAAAGACGCCAAGGTGCTGTCGTAACCTTGAAAGATCAAGAGTTCAAACAGCCACGAGTAGGAAGCAGCCGAAAAGCCAACAAACCGTCCAACCAACCGGCAAACCAACTGCCAACTACCAACAACAACAAAAAGCACAGGCAAAAGCAATTAAGTGTATATAACCAGAGAATCCAACGAATAAAAAAAAAAAAAAAGAGTTGAATGGGCAGGTTGGTCGGTAGCTGGGACGCCGGAGATGGCACTGGCCAACTTTTGTTTGCACAATTAAATTTCTGTATGGTAGATGAAGGAAAACAAACTGAAAAAAATATATATATAAAAATATTTACTCTAAAGGTCGTCGCTGGCTGTCTTTTGTTTGCCTAGGCATTTGCAATTAGTTGCAACAAATTGACGGCAATGATTTTACTATTGTGCGCGCCTTTTGTTTTGTTAGTAAACATGACTGCAACTTATACAACAATTACGAATATTAAATAATTTTTGTGGTCTTTGTTTTGAGTGTGTCTCTCTTTGTACGGAAATCTTTTAGCCACGAATCGAGAAGTGCAAATAAATGTGCAATTAAATGAAGTAAACAAGTAGTTTATTCTGCTATTAAATAATAAAATCAAGGACTAAATGTATTAGCACAAATTATTCAATTAAAGAAGTATTTGAAGTTCGAACAATTTTTATACAATTTAAAAAATTTTAAAAACGAGAACAACTGCACGCCGAAGATTAAATCCCCTTGTTTACATATAAGGCATATGGCATGTGGCATATGGTGACATATACGGTATTGCAGATAAATGCTGAGTTTAATGAAAATAACGTGCCATATAAACTAATTCTTCGATTTTTCATATCGATTCTTCTCATAATGCTAAATAATATAGTAGTGCGATATTGATAAGATTTTAAGATCGTAGTTCAATTAATAAAAGCTGGATTTGGTCAAGATCACTTGATAAACTTTGATTTTCACACAAGAACTTCATTTTCTACCGATCGTTTCTATGGCAACTATATGATATAGTGGTTCTATCCGACCCGTTCCGCTATATGTACTGTCTGAAACAGACAGAGCAACCTATGCTTAGTTTCAGGTGGATAGCCTTAAAACTAGTTGGCATAGAAACAGGCATAAGTTCGAACGGACAGAGGGACATAGCTATATCATTTCGACTGCTGATGATTAGAATATTTATACTTTATGGAGTACGAGATGTCTTCTTCTATGAAATACACATTTTATGACAATGATTATAAAATTAAAATTCCTTCTACAAGGGTATAAAAACTATTAAATTAAAGCAATTTTAAGCACTATATTATAAAATATCAAAAAAATAAACGTTGAAGCAAAGCTTTTAATGCATTAAACTGCCCGCTTTCAAATTATAAACAATTCGGTTTTCAAATCCAAAACTATTGAGTGCTTGGGTATTTTTTAAATTTAAGTTCTTATGCAATTTTGACATACATACATGAAGATAATGTATATAAATACCTATGGTTTGAAAAGTCGTTCGTTGGCATTTCACAAAAAATGATTAGCACTCAACTTAAATTTGTAATCTTGCTTGGCGATTTTTTGAGCAATATATTTTACGATCCATCAGTAAACGGGTGAAAGTAAACTGAATGTGCCTACATGTTCAATATTATAATTGGCAACCCCTAAGAAAATTTGTTTAAATGTTACCAATAAGCAACAATGCTCATCTTATTGAGTTAAGTTGAGTTGATATCTATTTGATTCTTCAAATATTTTC